GTTCAGATAGTTTCAAGTCATTTTAAAAATGGTGTAATGTTAGGAACCGAATTTTAGTCGTTTTTTTTTTGCGTTCAAAAAACTGTTTTATGAACTAGTGATAGAAATTGATTAAAATACTCTTTGTTGATGGGGCTCAGTCAATAAATATTTTCAAAAAAAATAAATAACTCCAATTTTGAGGAGGGGTTGTAGGCTAAGATGTGATGTCATTTTAGCGGAAGGGGTCTGGCTTTTTGTAACAATGTGTGATGGAGAGGGGGGGATCGTAAAAAAAAGTTTGACGTAATTTATGGATGACTCCCCCCCCCCCCCTCCCAAGCCATTAGTCAAGTATCCAGTAAAAATAGTTACACAAGAAACAGGGTCAGCTCTTAACTGAGTTTTTGGTCAAACTTACAATAGCCCAAGCGATTGATAAAACGTAAACACAACTACTGTACCAGAACAACATTGAAGCAACCTCAGATATCAACACAGAAGTGTCAAAAGGAAGTTGCCCGGGGGGGGGGGGGGGAGGGAGGGGGGAGGAGGCTGGCTTGTTGTGACGATGTGTGACTTAGGGGAGTGGGAGGGAAATAATGTCAAAAAAGCGTGGCGTCATTTATGGATCACCCTTAATTTAAAAAAAAAAACACCACTAAATTAGCTGAAGGGGTCTATTGCTTTTCATAATTTTCATAATTATTTGATTGAACTGCATTCACTTATGGTAATGTGACCTCGTTTTCGAAGACCGGAAGGGATGGCGTTGGGGTGAGTGGTGGTTGTAAAGGAATGCCGGTAAGAAGCAGTGGCGTGCAGAGGGGGTGGGGGCGGACGGGGCCCCGGGCAATCACTTTGGGGGTATCCGATGGTTGGTTTTTTTTTTTTTTTTAAATTGAGAAGTTTTGGTATATAGTGTCTTTGTGTCATCATCAGAGGCGTAGTGACCCTTCCCGGCGCCCGGGGACTAACTTTTCGATTTGCACACTCCCCCCCCCCCCTCGAGATTTCGATTTGCACCCTTCCCCCCCCCCCCCTCAAACTTTCGATTTGCACCCCCTCCCTCGAGATTTCGATTTGCACCCCCACCCTCAAACTTTCGATTTGCACCCCCCTCAACCTTTCAATTTATTTTTCCAACCCATTTTGGCGCCCCTTAAGGTCGGCGTCCGGGGACATATGTCCCCCCCCCCTCGCCCCCCCCCTCGCTACGCTACTGGTCATCATACGTTTTCATCTGTCTCCACAATGATTGCTGACTGATTGATTTATTTTTACTAATTTCACCCAAAACAGATTGTCATTCTCAATCGTCTATCACTCGTTTTGACATTCTATCTGTATGGCACAACTTTTATGGAAAAAGTGGGCTTTAAAGTTTCTTTAATAAATGCTGTCTTTATATCAATGTGTGTATCTGATATTTATTTAGTATAGTCTAGGAGCATCATTTAGATATAATTATATTGTTTTACTTTCATGTTAGCTTCCCTATTATATCTCTGACCTCGACATTCACCAATCTCTATATATTTATCTCCATATTTCTCGAGTACTGCTGGCATTCAAGCTAAATATCTTTGCCTGTTGTGTCTTCAGCAATACGAAAATTCTATGAAATATTCCACAAGTTTAAAGTCACAAAGTTACACATCAACAAAGCTCACAAGCAGGTATCGCTGTTCTCTGTGACTAGTATCGATATTTTCTCAATTTATCAAGTTTTCTTTTTCTTTTACTAAGACGAGACGCTTTATTCCTACGTATCCGACTACTTCGACGTACGAGACAAGACTAACATTTCTTATGCCCGTAAAACTAGTACAGGCATCCAAAAAACAACAACAAAAAACATCAACATTGGTTAGATTACAATAGGGTATCACATTATGTGTTTTTCCCAAATTTTCATACTAGGTACAAAGGGGGGTGGAGGCGGAGGGGGGGGGGGGAGGGCTCACTCTATCGACCCTTCGCCAGCCACCTGAGGTAAAACAATCACCAGGCGACCGTACCGCTCTTTCCTGCACACAACAACGAGATGTGACACTAATGTCTTCCTATAAAATACAGCATTGTTCAAGTTGAGATGGGGGGTGGGGGGGGGGAGAACTCACTAGGCCTAACATCAACCGTAGCAATAAACAATGGCGAACTCTGACCTTTTAGTTTTTTCCAATTTAATTCAACGGTGACCGCAGCCCGACCCGGTAGGGTAATGGAAACTGGAACCTCTTTTGTTGGGCTTGGCATATAGCCCCTCCCCCCCACTTCCGGCATGTCCCCAAACTGTACCCCCCTCCCCGAAATTCCATCAATTATTACATTTGTTGAGTCAGTCATTCCTTTCTCAAGAGTTTAGATAAGTCAATTTTTAAAATGCTTTTCTATTTGTATTGTGTTTAATAACACAATGCAAGCTGTTGTAATTTATCTTCAATTGTAGGGTTACTAACACTTTAACACCGTATGATATTATATATATATATATATATATATATATATATATATATATATATATATATATATATATATATATATATATATATATATATATATATATATAATGTATGGGGGCATCTTCCCTTGCGTTGGCCCCGGACATCAACATAGCTATGCACGCCACTGGTAAGGAGGGGTGCAAGTAGTGTTTACTTCGGCTTTTTTTCTCGCGGTGGGGGGGGGGGGGGGACTTGAAACTTGGGGGGGGGGGGGGTAAAAGCAAACATTTTCAATTTAAATTCTAATTCGTTGGGTAGGCTATTTCGTGCTTCGGGACGGTGACCCCCCCCCCCCCCCCCCCCATTCCCCCACCCCTTCATTGAAGAGATGCCTGTAAGAAACACTGGAGGCGAGTGTGAGAGGAATATGATATGGCGAGTTGGACATTGGAGTCGAGGGGGTGAGAGGTGAGAGGGAAGGGACGCCATGTCTTAAATGTAGAGGCGATATTTGTTATAACCTAAGCTAAAGACCTTTGTATTTCTGATCTAACCCATTGACAAAATAAAACGCTTTCTTCTGGTAGAAAACAGGAATAGATAATGTTGATATTTTGCCTGTTTTAATTTTCCTATATAAAATTGAGTTATCGCGGTAGAGTATTTTAGTTAGTGACTATATATTAGTCTTGTAAGGCAGAAGAGAGTTACCACGGGTATCAGTTACCTCTCTACCACAGCTTGACCAACACCGACATCTGAGACCCGGGGGGGGGGGGAGGGGGGGGGAAGGGAGATTTGACCCTTCAATGTCTCGGGAGACTATATATGACAGCACATCAAAGTCCTGTTGGACACGGACATAAGTTGGGCTGGTTGACCGGTGTGGTTGCTGTGTTTGGTCGATGGACTTCATGTGTGCAGTATTAAATTGGTGAGAAGGTAGGTACGGTTATTGGTTTTTTTTTTCTCTTTCTGTGTTCCTATTTTGTAGGTTTGTTTACACAGTAGGCTAGTAGGCAGGGTGAAACTTTAACATCACTTTAGGTGTTGGGATGGGCTGTCTTCTAAAAAAAAAAAGTAATACCTGGACCATCAAATTAGTCTTAGCCCAGGTTAAATGTGGGTGGGGGTGGCATAGATTGTAATTACGGATGACAGCCATGTTGACCTGTGAGTTGTGATGGCGACAGTATGGCGCGCGGACTAAACAAAAAAAAAGGAAATTATCAGTAGGGTCTGATATTTTAATTAGCTACAACAGAACTGTGGCGACATACAGATTAGGCGTCGTGGGGGGGGGGGGAAGTGTTGATGCAATATTACCCCTTCCCCCCTCCCCCTGCATCTGGACTTTGGGGAGTCCGTTATTTAAGGAGGGGTTTGAGACGGTAAAGATTAGACAGACAAGACACACTTGGATAGCTAGGTAGGGGCTCACTCAAAATAGGACAACGGTTACTAAGTCATTGAGAAATTAACTAGATCTAGTTTAGATAGTAAAAATTAAGTTCGTTAAGATAGGATTTAGATCTAGAATCTATTTAGTTTCAAGAATTTCGGAAGCCAACAGTGTGCACAATTAGGAACCTGGAGATATTTTTGTTTTATGTTAGGTAAAATGCTCGAAACCTAAGTGTGAGACAATTTTCTTTTTTTACTGATACCTTAATTAAGCAAACTAGGATAGGATCTAGTTGTCATTTAGCCTTATAGAAAACCATAGTTGTATTGTGCAGGCTATTACTATATATAGTATATTGTTGTAGTGAATATTGAAGTAGACATGTTCTAATGATATTGTTTGTTACAGTATTGATTGTTACTGTAGTCGTCCTATTTTGGCTGTTTTTTAGAAGCTGTTTTTTTTTTGCAGTTGTTATCGATTTTTTAAGAAATTGTTTTGGTTTTGTAATGGCTACATCTGGGGTTTAAGTTTCGTTGAGTTTTGATCTATTAGTTTAAATTTTTAGGCGGAGTTTCTAACTATCAAATATATAGACTGCTTTTATCGGTGGCCGTCCCACCTTTAAGCCCCCCCCCCCCCCCCCCGGAAAAAATGTCTGAAAGAAACACTGAATAGATCATAGCTAACTACATAATCGACGAGATTTTTTTAGTAGGTATTAACAAACAATATTTTTTTTTGTGGGCATTCCATTTCTTGATAAATCAGTCCAATGGTACTGGATCTAGATCTAAATATAAAAATTAATCAAAAACAAATCCCTCCATCTTTGAGCAGCCATAAGAGATGTAATAAATACTGAAATAGGCTATATTTTTACCAACAGATGCATTTTTTACAGTTGATATATCTATATGAGATAAAAGTTCTTATGCAATAAAAAAAAAGATTCTCTTAAAACATTTTTAGTTTTAGGGTCTAAATTTATATGGTTTATAAACGACCTAATTAAATTATGAATTAAAAATTAAAAAAAGGCGAAAAAAAATACAGGTAGGCTAGGCCTCACTAGTGCCTACGTAAAGGGAAATCACTCTAGCATCATTGGTTCTAGGAAAGGCGCCATTTGCGTACACCGTTACAATAGGCTAGTCCTACCCAAAACCTGGTCATTCGGCGACTAAGGCTAGACTAAGGCGGTTGAACCTTAACTGGCTAACTGCCCTCCAGGCAAATTCTTAAGCTGACCATTTCCGCCAGTGTTGCAAGCACATGGCATTGTGAAGTTATTTAGTAGACCCACATTTGCCAATCCTGCAGTAGTCAGATTCTGATTGACATGGCCAGTAGTAGCAGATCAGTGCTGGACATTATTAGCCAGAAATTGTGCGTTGAAAAAAGGATCACAGAGTAAGTTCAATGGTAAAATCTCCATTATTTTAGTGAATTTTAGTGAAATATTGCCCCTTCACGTTCACCTTTAAGCCTTTACGATGCTAAAATGGAGTCTTACCCAAATGACAAATGCCGAATAAATTCAAATTCTGTTTTTTAGTTTAGTTTAGGCCTTAGGCGGGCAGCTGGGTTAGGCCTACACTTATTGTGTACACTACTATTGGGACTTACACTTTGGCACCTTACTTTATTTGCAAGTTAGCCTATTTGAAATTTATAAATTTAGCTTTTGGACTCTTCTTGCATTTACATTTTGCTTAGACCAAGATCTAGAATTTATCAAGAAATAGCCCTATAGGATAGGGCCTAACTAATAACTATTTATTTAATTTAACTGAATAGGCCTATGCCTAAGAATTTAGAAATTTAGTCAATAGGCCTAGGCCCCTACTATTTATAATTTGAGTTATGAAGGTTGAGGGCTTAAAGTTTTGGAATCAACTGATGTGTTAACTTGAAGAAAATTAGTAGCAGTTTGATCTTTAAAAAATTGCCAATGCACTCTTCTACTTGAATCTAAATGATTAAAAACCCATTTTCTCCTCAGTAAAGCTGAAGAGCTAAATGAGCTGCTGGAGGCAAAGGCTGGTGCAGGCTCATTAGCTGCACTGAGATTGACAGGGTCCTGCAGACTTGTTGCTTGCGTTGATCTAGCTGCTCGGTCGCTTGGTTGTACTGTGAGCCAGGTAAGATTCCTATTCTTTATGTTGGAAGTATTGTCTAATTTCTTCATAGGGGGCAGTGCCGGCGTTAGGGGGTGGCAAACGGGGCGGCTGCCCCAGGCCCCGCGCTTGAAGGGGCCCCGCGCTTCAGCACCGCCATTGTTGTCTGAATTAGTTTGTAAACTTAAATAATCTTTGCTGAATTGAATTTGGAAAAAAAAAAGGCCGAAATTGTTGATTGTTATAAACTGAGACCACGGCTGATGTTAGTGAGTTATCCCCTACATGACCTGGGACAGACCGTCATTCGATACGAAGACATTAGTGTCACACCTCGCTTAGTGTCGACTCGCTTTTGACCTGAGGTGACGGGTAATGGCGATTGCGAATTAGCCCCCGACATGACATGGGAGGTGAAATCACGAGGGAAAACACGTAATGAGATACTCTATTGTATTCGGACCGATGAAGACGTTTTTTTTAGTGAGCAGGCGGGGGTGCCTGTAGTAAACAGTCAGTGACCTGATGATGGCTTGCAGAGGAGGGGGGGGGGGGGGGGTTGGGGCGGAAGGGGACATGCCCGAGCATCCAGAGTATTTATCCCTAAAATCATAATTTATACAAAGTAAAGACATCTTTTATGTAATTATGCTTATTCACTACGATATGTTTGAAAGGCCTCCATACAGTAATTATGTTCATATTCATTTTATATATTGTCAGGTCATCTTTAAATACATTATAATTGTATTTAATTTATTAAGGGCTTTTATACAGTAATTATGTCCATATTCATTTTGGTAAACTTTAATGGCATTGGTAGAGTGATTAAGCCCATGTTTATTTTAATTAATTGTAGGGATATCTAGTATAATAGTTAAGACCATAGTGATTTTTGTTTTAAAATAGTTTAGGGATACCAAACAAATTATGTCTATACTGTTTGATACACCGGGCCGAGATCTTTTTATGGTAAAGTTCTCCTGATTTCCCCAAACGTCTAAATCAGGGGTCTCCAAACTGCGGCCCGCGAGGTCATTTTATCCGGCCCGTAACGATCTTTTTGTCCACTGAATAAATGTTTGTTGGAGGTGGCTGAGGAGCTTTGCACAGAAAATTCAAAACTATTTGAAAATCAAGCTTGTGTGCAAATACAATTACTCGCCGTGTTGCAGACATTGGTGAAAACATTGCGACTCAAATAACGAAAAATTCAAGCAAGTTTCGCCATTTTTCAATTGCAATGGATGAGTCGGTGGACAGCTGTTACACCTCTCAAATGCTTGTGTTCATTAGAAGTGTGGGTGAAGACCTGAACATAATACAAGAGCTGGCTTCCCTACATAACATGTATGGCACTGTTACCGAAGAGGATATCTAACCATAGATATTTCAGAGACAAACAGAAAATCGCAAGATTTACCATATTTCACATCAGTAAGATTGCTAATTTTGCGAGAAAATTCTGAGCAGGGTATCTAAGAAAAGAAATAGGTGACTCCCTGATAGTAAAGGCAAGTCACAGCCATTATTGTCTGATGAAGAGTGGGTATAGAAATTGGCCTCTGCTGCAAACATAACTAGTCATTCAAATTTTCTGAATCTATAACGGCAAGAGAGTGAAATCTAGTTTCTATACACCCACCTAAAGGCCTTTAGATACAAACTTGTCATGTTTATGGAACAAGTACAGGCTAACAACTTGACACACTTTCAGCAGTGTAAGGTCTTTACGGTTGAAGCAACCACTGAGTTCCCCACGTCATTTACACACGAGATCGTTAAAGACCTCCAGCTGCAGTTACAGTAGCTGTTTTCTGTCTTGGACTCAAAGGCAGAAGAAGGGAGACTGTTTCAAAGCCCATTTGAAGCAAATGTGACCAGTTGCAAAGATGAACTGCAGCTGGAGGACACTCGAAATGTGTATATATTTCAATATAAATTATATTTCGTTGGGGGGGGGCGGTAGACGTTCTTCGGGAGGGGGGGGGGGGCACGACCCTGAAGGCCCTTAAAGAAACTCTGGCCCCCGAACTGATATTTGATAGTTAATGCGGCCCTCGGGCTGAAAAGTTTGGAGACCCCTGGTCTAAATTACCGGAAGTCTGAGCATGCCGCCGCGAAACTCATAAATAAGAATAAGGTAAAGCTGGCTGTCACATGGTTCACTTTCTAATTATAGACACTAACCTTCTCTTATGAGAACGTGGTCTAACCTGTAATGTAATAGGTGTATGCTCTATAAACACGCACCTTCTCTTGAATGGCTGCGGTCAGAGATCCAGTAACGTAGTGCTCGAACTGGGAGATTTTTTTTTCTTAGGGTTTGGCATCCCATAGATTTAAATGTATAATTACCTCACCCCACCAACTGTCATCCACCCCAGTGTTCCACCCTACTGAGCGTCCGTGATTACATTTGAGAGTCATTTCATTTGGATATCTATAGCCGTAAAAAGTGTTTTTCACGATTCGAGCTTGGTCCGAAATCTATCAATGTTTTGCTATTTTCCTTGGCATCCACACACTTTGAATGCCACTGTTAACACTCGATAAATTGAGAAAATATTGATACTACCACCCGCCACTGTGGACCGCCTTAGCGTTGCCTCAAAGTGATTTCACTCTTTTTCCTCGAAACCATGGCTACAAGAGACAGAGATAGATTTCGCAAGTATGAATCAGGTGCATCAAAAGCGAGCAATTTAAGAGAAGAATTTGATAAAACCCAAGCAGGCGCGTTGGACAAGTACACACACTTTCCAAAGAAAGTCATAAAACAACAATGATTTGCTTGTGGATTCCAATGTCGCAAATGTGGAACGTAACAAAAAGGACTCCAATGAGAGTAATACTATTTGTGGTGATGACGGTAATAATGAATCCTCGAATCATTTATTGTCAGCTGCAAATCCCACGAACTTCGACAATAGGGACAAATCAAGCGGCCATTCTGAAAATGATTCTGACAAAAATAATTCATTCCCAATGATCGTAAAAGATATATACGATCCGGGTAATTGGGAACATGTATCAACGATGTCCCAAGACAGGCTCTGCGGCCTGTCGATTCTGTCAATAGAAAAAGACATTGTCTCCAATTAGGACTATGATGATATAATCAAGGAATTTTCCTCTCGAAAGGCAAGAAAAGTAGATCTTCGTTTGTGAACGTACTGGTAAGATTTTCATAAATAAACATTTATGTAAAAAATCAGGTTTGAAGCTGACGTTCATCGCCTCTTAAATGCGTGCCTCGAACTTATATCTGTTTTTTGCTTTATTTTTCAAACAAAAAAGCATTTCAAAATTATTTCTAAGTAAACAAATTATGTTTTAATCAGTCTTTATGTTAAAACTAATATACGACATTGATAAGCAGCTTAAAAATACCATACATATCGTTATAAATATTAATTCGCGTCGAGAAGAAAAAAAACGCCTCATTGTACATGTTTTAGACATCAATGGAAAAATATAAGGCCCCGCGCGGATGGTTGGCCCTAGGCCCCGCGTACCCCTAACGCCGGCTCTGATAGGGGGTCATCCATTTATGACGTCCACATGCGGTGGGGGTGGGTCCCCGAAAAAATTGACTTTTGCCGACGCATATAGACTTATATAAGGAAAATAAGTGGATTTTAGTAGGGGGGTGGTCCAAAATCAAAATATTGTGGTCGTCATAAATGGATGACCCCTAGCTGTGATGTACTTGCAAGATGATTAACTATCTTAGGTTGAATTCTATTCTGTTATGGGGTAATCTCTACCTTTAAAATAAGCCAGAGTTATTTATGAATATGTATTTGTTAGACCATTTTGAAATAAGATGGTTAAATGTGAGGTACAGATGTAAAACCACTGTGATTATTTAAGATAATTAGTGCAAGATCATCAGTAGTCAGAATGAAGAAAGTAAAAAATGAACACTAATGTAACATAATACATTTACAAATGACAAAGTTCTGTTTTTGTATACTGTTAAAAATCACAGATGGTGGCTTCAAATGATGCAATCAATACAAATCTAAAATTCAGGATTGAAGTTGTAGAAAACTGGACACATTGATTTACTGGACTTGAATCATTTTGAAAATAAAAAATAATTTTCTTAATTTTCCAGGCAGATGTCGTAAGGGTGTCTAGCATGAATAAAAAATCCTACAATGAAGCAGTGAAAGTGATCGCAAATATATTAGGCCTGGAAGAGAGAGTTACTCTCAGAGAACTGGCCATACAGTTTGGTTGCACAGGTGTGGTCACATTGGCCACAGAAATCCTCCAGAGGTAGGTAAACACGTCTTTCTGACCTTGCAGGTCAACACGGCTTTCTGACCTTGCATTCTATATATGCAATCATGTCTTTGTTTATATTAGTATTTTTTTTTAAAGCAGGTCTGCTGTTAAATATTTTATATAAATAAATCATAGGTGGATGAAATATTAAACAAGTTTACTTAACCCACGAACTGTCACAACGGCCGATCATCGGCCGTAATGGCCGCCGCTGTGGTGTTACGGCCGATAAAATCGGCCGTAATGGAAAAGAAAGATGCGAATGCGAATGTTTAATTTACTGTGTTTTAAAGGGGAATAACTCTCATAAAATGGTTTTACTTCCGTTCTGGAAAGAAATCTACAGTAAACAAATACGTGCACATGTGCTACAGATCTTTGAAAGTGGTTGATTTTTTTGTGTGTGAAATTTGAGTGCAGAGAAATGGCAGACTCTGGTGCTGGTTCTTCTAAACCAAGAACAAACCTGTTTGATTTGTTTTTAAATGAAGAAAGTGATAGTGAAGATGACTTTAATATTCCTCATGTGAACTACGATAGTAGTAGCAGTGATGATAGTGATAGTTGCAGTGAAGATGAAGTCATTGAGGATCATGAGACACATCAACTTTCTGTTGCTGATAAATTTGGCTGGCAAACTATAGATATTGAACCCAACAGATTGAGAACAGATCCTGTTTTTACAGTTAGAAATCCTCTAAGTTCAAAAAACATTGATCTTGCTGAATGTACAGACCCTGTTCACTTTTTTTCTTTGTTATTTGATGATGAAGTGATGAACACTCTGTTGAAAGAAACCAACAGATATGCCCAACAGTTTCTGTCTACAGAAGCTGTTCGGGAATGGATTGCTAGGCATCCTAGCAGCCGGTACAACAAGTGGCCAATAAATGGTATAACCATGGATCAGCTTAAAAAATATTTAGGACTTCTACTGAACATGGGAGTTGTAGCGAAAAAAAAGATCAGTGATTACTGGTCAACGAGACCTACACTGTCAACGCCCTTTTTCAACGACACAATGAACTGCAACATGTTTTTCCTGATTCATCGGATGCTCCATCTTAACAATTTAGAAACTGAGAAGAAAAGAGGTGAAGACAATTTTGATCCCTGGAGTAAGATTAGACCTTTCCTGGACAAAGTAAATACTATGTCTAAAAAGTACTACATTCCTTCTAAAAACATTTCCATAGATGAGTCGATGATTGGAATGAAAAATCGTTGTGTTTACATTCAATACATGCCAAATAAAAGGCATGCACGATTTGGCATCAAAAAGTTTCAACTGTGTGACTCCAATGGCTTCATCATGCACATAGAGTTGTATGGTGGTAAAGATTTTGATGTCAGACATGATGAAGGACAAGCTTTTGCCGTGGTTAGACATCTGATGGAAGAATCGAAGCTACTAAATAAGGGCTACCACCTCTACACAGATAATTTTTATACTAAGCCTGCACTGGCAGAGTTTCTACTTGAAAAAAAAACATTATTAACTGGAACAGTAAGGGCTAATTCCAGAAACATCCCTGAAAACAAATCTGCTAGACTACAAATTGGAGAGGCCAGCTTTTGGCGAAAGGGTGAAATGCTTTTTTTGTCCTTCAGAGAGAAGAAGTCACAGACTAAACCTGTATATGTCCTCTCTATTCTGCTCACAATGCAGTCATAGAAGATAGGACAATTAATGGAAAACAGAAGAGAAAACCACAGGCAATTTTTGACTACAATTCGTACATGGGCGGAGTGGATCTTAGTGACAAAAGAATTTGCCACTATGCGTCTGAAAGGTCCACTCGACGATACTGGAAAAAGATTTTTCAGAATTTATTAGATGTTTGTGTGTTTAATTCTTGGATTATTTACAATATTTCTGTGCCTAAGAATAAGCAACTAAAAAGAGACAAATTTCTTCTGTCTATTATTGAAAGTCTCTGTTGTACTTCAGCTCCATCTGTGCAATTTCGGCAGCCGCCGACATCAGATCCTGTTTTACACAGACTGGTTCTTTTAGATGGCAGAAAGGAGAGAGACTGTTTTGTCTGTAGCAACAGGGATAAAGGACAAAATAGCAGCAAGGGCAGAAAGAGATCTAGGCACTGGTGTCCCGGATGCAAAATTGGTTGCCATGAACATTGTGAACCACATCTGATACACAAAACAGATCAAGGACTATGTAAAAAAAGAAAGAGGGTTGACTAGTTGATGTTATGTCTCTATCATTGATAATGTTTCTGGTATTGATGAAATTAAAATTATGTATCATATAATCTATTGAACACGTTCAGCTGCTTTTTTTTTTATAAAAGAAAATTTTGCGATGATAGGGTACTATCACATAAAAATTCTTAAAAATTATTTCTGTTTATCAGAACCCAGAAAGCTATATATCTCCTGAAAGAGGATTGGTTTATGTACTAGAAAAACACATTTGGGTGATAAATAGATAGAAACAAGTCAGTGTGAGCCTGGGTTGAACTCGCACAAGTTGTTGCATAATTTTTTTCTCCGAGCAAAGGTCAAGGTCAAGGTCAAATGACATAACTTTTATATTTCTGAAACTAGTATAATCTTATTCTTTGTCCAATATGCTTTCAGGAAATGTATACTTATGTACATTTTCTAGTTCATTTTCTTTGTGTAAATGTCATTTTACAACACTATATCAAAATGTCAAAATTTCCCCGAACGCCACAGCACAATTGCACTTGACACTTCGTGGGTTAATTTTAGGTACATCTCTGACCAGTGCAGTGATGTAGACTACCACACACCTTTGTTCCTTTGTGCTGCCCTTGTTGCTGGTACCAGGTAATCTTAGGAGCATTAGCATCTTCAGTTGTCGTTCTTCACTTGGTGCAGTTTTAATCCCTTGATTAATATCCACCAACACTTGTAGGATGGCTTTTTGGTGGGGCGGGGATGATTATATAAAAAATGGTTACTAAACAGCATAATTTAAGGATTAATAGATTTTAAGAATTTTTTTTGGTATATTTAAAAGTTTTCAAAATAGAAATTTTGGTCATAAGTGATTTATTTTCTAGGAGTTTCACAATATAGAGGAACATTGTACATGCTACAGTTTTTAGCTTTTATTCTGTATATTTTCAGAAAACAGAAGGTGAAGATTGACATGGTAAAACTCAGAGAGCACAGTGGTGTAAAAAAATCTGCATTAGAGAAATTAATCACCATCATGGAGAAATATGTACATAAAGCGCCAGGTAAATATCATTTAGTTCTTTCCATAGTTGCGCAGTTTTATATGCATACATTTAAACGCTTTTAAATCTAGAATCAACTTTGTGGTTCCTTGTTTCAGCTAATTTGAAATAATGTCCTAGACAGTAATTTTGGTTATTGTTTCACAACAAATTACTCTGTATGTCACTTAGGCAGGGTTTACATTTAGTGTATGGTGATGGGACTCAATCTTGATACCATAGAATTTAAAATTCAAATTTTTTTTGTTAAAACAAAAAATTATTATAAAGAATTACTTGTGTAAAGTTAATTTTAGAATTTTTCATCTAAAAAACTTTTTACTCACCTGTTTAAATTGTTAGTGAAGTATAGTACCATAATTATTATTTGAGGCAAGCTAATCACATTTCTGTTTTGTACACAGATTCTAGGAAACGCAGTCCAAGTAAAAATAGAGATGGTCTTTTAGAAGCTATAGATCTACAAGGTAACCATATTCCCCCCTGTAAAGAAACCATAAACTATTTTTTAGTATCTTAGTGAATTTTGCTTTTTGTTTTAGTTTTTGAAATTTAAACCATTTAACACCCATGATTGTTGTATGTTTTCTCAGATAAAGAACACAATTTAAAGAAAAGTAGACTAGATGAATCCACCCCTTGCAAGAATGGAACAGTCTCAAAGAAGGATTACGAAGAATGGAAACGAAGGATTCTAGCACAGGCTCAGCTTTCATAACAGTAATTGTTTGCAGCGTTATTTATTGTCCTTACTTTAACCATTGTAAACATTTTACAAAATGTCTCTATAGGTGTCCTTAAAAACTACCTGCATTTTTCAGCGATGAGTCAATCATCATTTATAGTTTGATTTGTTAAAATTTTTGTTCCAATTTCCCATTAGTCTTTCATTAGTTTTATTAGTCATTTCTAGTTGTCATGGACAGCTATTAATTGAGACACCTGGACCATATCAACAAGTGGATACTTTCGTTTGCGTTTTGCCTTGTAGACACCTGGTCAATAATTCATCACTCGACATTCTAATATAAACTTCATGCATGTAGTTTGCAACTTCCACATTCAAAAATGTTGAAACAGCATGCTTGGGTGGCACTATTCCCTTGGCGAGTGCCTTTTTAAAAAAACACCACGAGTCAACACCATCTCAACACCATCGGAGCAGTCATCATGCTGTGGTGACTCATCAGTTAACTGGCAGTGGTTGAAGCCTGCCCATATAACTTTCTTCATACCAGCAACAGTGCTGTTAGACCTGATGGCTTTCGTGTAGTATGTTTGCAGCCTTTTAATCTTATCCTGCGTCAAGCGCCCAATACCTGCCACCCAAGGTAATCTTCTGCTTCTTTTTTGTGTCAACAAGATTTCGCACGGCAGTCCCCTAGACGCTTAGCAACATGGTTGACACACTCTTGTTTTTCAACAACCAAGCCTTGTTGAGGATCTGTCTTGTGGATAGCTTTGATGGTATTTGTATCACCATCAGACACAACAGAGCGGTAATGCAGTCCATGATTGGTGACAGATCTATTCCACATGGACACCGCTGCTGCTTGCTCCATGCTGCCTGATGATTCTTGTCACACTGCTGCCCTGCAACTTTTCCTGCATGATGCAGCACTTCTGACAGTATTGTGACAGGCACTGGAAGTCCACAACCAGGCCTGTCCTGTTTTCTATGACACAGCCGATGCCAGATTTAGACGTATGTCCACGAGTGTGCCAGCTCCCATCATACGACACATCAATGTCAACAATGTCCTTGTCAGCTTGCTCAGGGTAGGCAACCTTTACTTGCTGAACAGATTGCCGGAGCAAGCTATCCTTATAACTGTTTACATTTTTGTAAACAGCAGTAGCATGCTGGTTGAAGGTCTTCTGGTGCAAGTTGGAAATGTTCATCTCGAAGAATTTTCCCATGCCTGCATGCCCCATTCCAGTTGCCAGTGATGAAGCCACTGCTCTCCTGTTAATTTCATAGTAATTAGTGTCACATTTATGTGATGTGTGACAGCTTGAAATGATGTAACTGCATTGGTTGCATGCCACAATCAAGAACAGAGCAAGTCCAGCACTTTTGTTGTAATCGCAGGACACGGTAAAATGTCCATCGTTACATTCTGGGCATGAAAATTTTTCAAACAGAGGTTGAATGGCACTGAGCTGAATAATAGCTGTTAGAGATGCCATGTCAACACTATCAACTGAACTAAAAAGGGACAGCTTGGATCTGGAGGCAGATACTGCTGTCACAGGTGTGGTTGGCTCAGCAACTTTGGGTTGATACCTTGCAGCTCTGGCTCGTTTCAGCTGTGCGTTTCTTTTTTTGGTTGGTGCCATGTTCTGCAAATAAAATATTTAAAAATAGGTTAATTTTGTGTCTAGAAATCATTATGCTATGTTATCTAATTAAATAGCAAATAAATCTAAAATAGATTAGGCCCTTGATATAATTAACAGGTGACAAATCAAAGTGTGGTTGCTTCCCCTGTTTCTTGACTTGATAGGCCTACGTTTTTCTTTATGAGCCCTCAACGTGTGATTAATAGTTATCAAAACTACCTCCAGTTGAAATTCAATATACCTTGACTGGTCACAACTGACACAACCCTTTTAGTCTTTTTATCCCTAAATGCCACTGTAAGGTACTTGTCTTCATGCATTTACTGTGGCAAATATGCTCTATCGAGTCATACCGCACAAATAGCTGCATCTACAGAATGTCTTGTGAGGCCTAGGGTTTGTCTCGTTGGACAATAGGTCTCTTAATACTTAATAGTATGTTTTATTAATGTATATTGTTATTGGCTGGTTGCCAATACTTGGTTCAGTGAACCAACTGGTCAATAATTAACTCAGTGCAAAGATTTGACACTTATTTTAATACATGAAGGTTAACACAGAGTAATTAACACAGTCAGATTAGCCTGAAATAAGCGACTGGTCTCACTTATTCACAGACCGACCTCTGTAGCGTCTAGTCTTTAGCCCCAAGCTGGCCAGCTTCAAATGAACCCACACAATCCTCTACACACGCTGCAAAAACGTTAGTTAAAGTTCTCCGTGGAGTACAAGTGCCGTAGCACCAAAATGAGTATAATCTATGATGCCAAGTGCCTAAGCACTGGTTTTGTTGGGACACTTAATGAAGATATAATTCTCTTATTTTCCGAAGCTCGAAATGACGCCTCGACATAAAAATCACAATCTAAGCTTAAAATAAATGTGATAGGCTTGAATGCTTCCATCAGACTTTAAATAGGACTGTAAACGACAAATGTGTTAAAAACTTCTCTTCGACCCAACTCCCCTTGATTATAAACAATAGTAGCATCATGCTCAGCTATTTCCAACCTCTTTTTTCCTACAAAGACTGTCTTTGGACACCTTCCAAATTAAATTGTGAAAAGATTCATTAGCATTGTGTCCTGCTGTGCAAACACTACTCTAATAATGCATTGGATGAGGGGATCTCAAATACTGGTTTAATTTCATCTGTTACAAATTTTGGTAGCTTATTCTTATTTGCTATATCCAAGTCCTTTTGTCTAGGACACCACTGTCCACAATTCATGTACACCTGTCCTATGTTTCCAAATAGCCCATACAGCCTTTTTCATTGCAACAATGTTTCCTGCATTTTTTCTTATAGCACCACCATAATGACCCTGTATTCTCTTTATTGCTGATAGTGTAAGCCTGCCTGCTCCTCCTATACCTTATATATTGCTTTCCATTCTCTTTATAAAGTTTTCCTTTGCATTCACTTACCTTGTCCATCAATGCGCTTTTGGACATGTCCGCAACATTCACACTTGGTGATACTTTTACCTGTATAAATTTCTGGGTCTGCATCAGTTTTATAACTTTTGTTTTGCTAACACTTCCTTGACTGGTCACAACTGACACAAATCTTCTAGCCTTTTTATCCCTAAATACCACTGTAAGGGGTCACCCATTTATGACGTCCACAATTTTTTTGGGATTTTGGACTCCCCCCCCCTCGAACATAAAAATCCACTTTTTTTTCCTTATAAAAGTCCATATACGGCCACAAAAGTCAGTTTCTGTGCTTGTCAGTTTTATGACACCTGCTACACTTGTAAGCTATAAGTTTTTTGTGGAATTACTTACTTAGTCCTCTTTGCTCCTTATGGAGCATAGGGCCTCCACCATTTCCTTCCACTTCTTCCTATCCTCGGCTATTAATTTTGACATCTCCCAAGACATCCCTATTGGCTTCAGTTCTTCAAGAAGACTCCGCCTCCAGGTCTGTCTTGGGCGCCCTCTCTTCCGCTTTCCCTGGGGGTTCCACTCAAGCGCTTGACGTGTAACATTTGTGTGAGCCTTTTGCAGTGTGTGACCCACCCAGCGCCACTTCCTCCTTCTTATTTGCACACCTATAGGCTCTTGCCTAGCTTTCCTCCATAGTTCCAAGTTCGGCACTTTGTCCTGCCATCTCAGTTTCAGTATCTGTCTAAGGCATCTATTCATGAAGGTCTGTATCTTTGCTGTGCTTGCCTTGGAGACTCTCCATGTCTCTGCTAGTTTTAATGGGACACTTAATAAAGATATAATTCTCTTTTTATCCGAAGCTCGAAATAACGCCTCTGCATAAAAACTACAATATAAGCCTAAAAGTTTAAAAACTTCTCTCCGAAACTCACCTTGATTATAAAAAATAGTAGCATCATGCACAGCTATTTCCAACCTCATTTTTTCTACAGACTGTCTTTGGACACCTTCCAAATTAAATTGTGAAAAGATTCATTAGCATTGTGTCCCGCTGTGCAAACACTTCTCTAATAATGCATTGGATGAGGGGATCTCAAATACTGGTTTAATTTCATCTGTTACAAATTTTGGTAGCTTATTCTTATTTGCTATATCCAAGTCCTTTTGTCTAGGACACCACTGTCCACAATTCATGTACACCTGTCCTATGTTTCCAAATAGCCCATACAGCCTTTTTCATTGCAACGTTTCCTGCATTTTTTCTTATAGCACCACCATAATGACCCTGTATTCTCTTTATTGCTGATAGTGTAAGCCTGCCTGCTCCTCCTATACCTTATATATTGCTTTCCATTCTCTTTATAAAGTTTTCCTTTGCATTCACTTACCTTGTCCATCAATGCGCTTTTGGACATGTCCGCAACATTCACACTTGGTGATACTTTTACCTGTATAAATTTCTGGGTCTGCATCAGTTTTATAACTTTTGTTTTGCTAACACTTCCTTGACTGGTCACAACTGACACAAATCTTCTAGCCTTTTTATCCCTAAATACCACTGTAAGGGGTCACCCATTTATGACGTCCACATGAGGGCGGAGGGTTATAATCCCCCTTAACCCCCCCCCACCAGTCCCCGCCTACGCCACTGAGCCCGCTCCTGCTGTATCAACATGACTTTGCTCACACACTTCTGCACTGTTTTCCTTCCGTATAAAGAACTGTTAAGGGGAAAGCTTCTTCTTGTGCTTGGAACACTTATCACAGTAGTTGCTGCTTGTAAAAGTATCAATAACTTTAGGAGGACCTTTAGTATAGACAAGAGCAATATCCCGGACATCTTTGATCACAGAGCTTCTTTCATTATCCTTATCACAATCAGCATTTAACTTTAACTTTCTAAAATACATATTCTCTTCTTTGGGCGATCATTGCTCATTTTTGTATTTTTGCCCATTATTTTTAATACTTAGCTAGATTTATAGACTAACACAAGATCTTAACAACACAAAACTATGTGCTGACTGTATGAAGAGCTCCAGTCAACAGGAAAGCACATGTGAAATTTGTTAACCAAA